TTTTTTTAGTCTCCGATCAATAAAATGTAATCCGACCAGTAACTGATTCGAATTTATTTCATCGGTTTTAAACCTATGATTCAATATTTCTAATTGCCAGTTGAAAAACTGTTTTGTTTGTTGACTTCTTCGAATTCGATGTCCCAGAAGGGTATAGGGGTGACTGTGAAATCCCTCGTCATGCGAAAATCTACTTTTTGATCCTTGAATATTATGGAAATTTTTTTTTGCCTTAAACTAAATACATACCGAATCCATTCTAATAAATTAAATCTATGCATAAGTTGAATTAAATATGTATCAGATGGTGTTAATGAAGCACCAACTTGTAATGCAAGAATATCACGATCATACATTTCTTTTCGACATTTAACATTTGAATAATAATAAATCTAAACAAATTTTTAGTTTGTATTTTATTATTAGAAAAATTCATATTTACTTGATTAGATAATGAATAACCATTTCGTTTCCATAGACCAGCAACATGTTGAGCACAAAGAACTTGAATACGTAATGCTTCTTCATATATAAAACATGGATAGATTGTTAATTTTTCACACTAAATAAAAAAAAAAAAACAAATATTCAAATTCATTTTTTTGTCGAATAAAAATATAATGAATATTAACCAGGTTATTAAATGTTGTTGCTGTATTTGTATATTTTTGAAGATAAATATGAAGAGCTAAATATAGAAAAAAAAATATATTATTTAGTCAATTAGATATTGTGAGAAATAAAAAATAAGACTCAAATAAGTAAATTTATAGATATTCGTTCCTTTTTTTTCCCTTGAAGCAAAGTTGTATTATTTAATTACGATACTTTAACATTTGCTTGAAGACAGTATAACTTATATAATATTATAAATACACTAACAGGACTACCGGTTAGGACTACTTGTAGGGTGTTGTGTATACTATGGAAGTAAGATTAAATCGAAAGTAATGATTTTGGTCATTACTGTATCTCTAACTTAAATCCTTGTTAATTTCATTATTAGGTTTTTTTGTTTTTGTTTATATTAAAATCTTACCAACAATTAATCTAACAACAGAAATATGCACTGATATTGGATATTTTGCAACATCATATACATAACAATCAATTTTAAGATGATTTACAGTTGTTTTAACAATAGATGAATTATTTTTATCTTTAATTAAATGTGATACATCACTTGTTTTTTGTATTTCTGCTAATGCAAAACCTGTTGCTTCATATGCATCAAGTAATAATTCTTTCTATAATGAAATACAAGAATAATTTTGTTTTTTTTTTGTTCTTACATCTCGTGTACACCAATCTAATATGGATGAAATAATTGATTGAATTTTGATAACTAAATTAAATGCTGTTTCCCATTCCGGATCAAATTCTACATATTGTCCAACTTGTCGTGTTACTTTGTCCATACCCTATGTATTTATGGTATTATTTCATAGAAAAGGAAAAAGTTTGTCAGTGAAGGTCCTTTGAGGGCTAAAATGTGGAACTCACATATGTTCTTTAGGATCATTATATTAATATAAAATACGTAATTGGCCGGGAAACTATCTGTCCTATTTATTTCTTCATTTCGAACAGGAATTTGTTCTTTTGTTTTTAATTGATGCTATAATTTTTGTTTGCCTTGTTGATATCCACTGACTATTTATCTTTTTCGTATTTGTTATTATTCTAATAATTGATTTAGCTGATAAATAAGCCTGGTATACATGTCCATTAGATCTAGAATAGGTCATCTCGATAATAAAAAATTGCACTATTTAGAACATTCACAAACGTAATACAGACATTGAAATTTGTAAGAAGGGTCTATGTCTTGTTGTTAATACCGGTGAGCACCTTTCTCTGTTGATAAGAAGTTTTCGCGTCTGTTGGCCTCTTGCCCCCATTACTAAGAGCAGGAGCTGTTCAATATATTTTTCCTCGAAAAACATCATGTGAATTCCACAAATAAAAAGTTTTGAATAGAAGAAAAAAAAAATCTATTTCCATGCATATAAGTTAATAATTGAAGAAATGCTCGAAAACCATTGAGAAAATTTTCTCGAAGTTCAGTTGTATATTCTTGAGGTGCAACACCTAATAAATATCTTTAAAAGAAAAGATTATTTTTAAATAAATAAATTAGCATTAAAAAAAAACTAAACAAATACTTTAAATCATAAAGAATTGATTGTGCACGTCGAAATTGATGTTGTATTGATGCATTTGTTGCTCTTGAAAATAAAAGTTTACTATGATCAAGTTTTGATTGACAATATTCAAGAAATGAATCTACGATTGTTTCAAATGCATTATGTGATGAGATTAAATATTTTGCCTAAATATATATGTATATATATTTTTTTTTTTTTGTATTTTTCATCAACACAAAATTATATGAATGCATGTCGTTTAAATATAAATTTTTTTTTTTGTTTCTTACGAGACTATGTGTAGTAAATAATTGTACTGATAATCTTAAAAAAACATTCACTACGATAAAGGAATGAAAAATCATTTCGATAATGTCGTATGATCATCGAATAACACTAGAAATTAGATTACAAAAAAAAAAAAAAAAAACAAAGAATCAAATTATTTGGTTTTTATTTTTATTATATCGACGAGGAAAAACGAAAAAATTTTTTTTTTATGTTTAACAACATGCATTCATCGTTTTGTTTTTATTCAACTCAACTTAATTATTACCAGTGTAGGTACAGTGTAGACTTGAACAGAAAGATCAGTGAATGAAACATATTCGTCGGGATCTTTGACAAAATTTCGCCAAACAGTAGAATAATTCTAAATAATATATGACGTTGTATTATCGTTTTTTCTCGTCGAATATAAATTAATAATGCAATATGAGTAGCTTTAGTTAACTTTTTTTTTTTCTCCTCTAGTAATTACTTTTGTTAGATGAATGAAAACTATTGATTAGGAAATTTTTAAAAACTTTTCATTTTTATCAGATTATCTGTATATCAGTATTTTATCCAGCATGAAAGCCAGCAAGGTGACACCTCTCCGAAGATCAGATTGGCTCGTCCAGAATTTGTAATTATTGAAATATGTACGATGTTCCAAAAATAGATGTTTGCCTTTCCAGAAGAGAAAATCTGGATATACTATAGAATAACTCTATGATCATGAATGTCTCGAAGGTCACGCTAGAATAGGAATGGGAGGTGAATGGCTCAGGAGATTGATTAAGTGCTTTTTGCCTTTTTCAACATTTCAATACAAGGAAAATTTACTTTGAAAGCTCATCCCTAATCTAACCGTTTACAATTCATTATAATAATAATTTCAAGCTACTCATATTGCGTATTACAATAATAATAACAATATTAATCTTACTTTCATATACAAAATTCCAAAAGTTTTTTTCCATTCTGAATCCATAAAAAAACTAGAAACAAAATATATCATATATTAATCTTTCAAATTCTTTCTATGTATATTTTGTTCTTATTACCTATTAATAAAAATTTCATGTAAAGCTGATCGTGCACTTTTCCACAGCATTTTTTCACTTAATAAAACTTTTTCTGTACGTGTTATATCATCTAATTCATCATCACATTCAATTTCACATTCACAAAATATTCGACGAAAACCATCAGATATTTCAATAATATTTTGTAAATAATTTAAAAGTTTTTCTGCAAAATATTGTAATGATATAAATGAAGTTGGATATATTTCACATGTTAAGTGGAACATCAGCTGTACGTATACGTATTGTTTGTTGTACATGACGACATTGTTCCATTGTACCAATACGTATAGCTGTACGACCTTGACGATCAACTAAACATGTATGACTTGATCATATGTATGAACTTCATCATTAAATAAAATAGTTACATATTTTTTATGATCACCATCCCAATATCTATAAGCAAAACAATCAGGATTTATTTAAATAGAAGTATTAATAAAATACGTTCATTTTACTTGAAAATAATATTAGTCGATAAAGTTCAAACAAATAGATATTCTCGAAAAATGACATTAGATGAAACTGTGGTAAATGCCTGATGGATTTAGTCAGTTAAAAATATGAAGCAGAGATATATCTCGTATCTTCGGGGATGACTATCCATTTCGGATTAGAAAATTTCATTGAGAGTATGAAACTACGGTTGAACCGGCTTCGGATTCTATTCAAGACACATCATTCTAAAAAACGTTTTTTACTTTTTATTTTCGTGATACTTTTTTTCTCCGAAGAGATCAGAGTGAGATTCAGTAGACTCAGAGTTTCAAGCTTTACCGACTAGTATATGTCTCAAGTAAAATGATACTTACGAGGAAACTTCACCAAGTGATTACAGTGATATTTTGTCCATAGGTAGGACCTAGTGAGACTAGAAAAACGTCAAAAAGGACAAGTCCTCATAGGTCTTCCTTCCGGAGCTATGATCGATTTACTGGATTTTCGGCCCATGGCAAGGCATCAGGTCAAAATTTTGTCATTCAATTTCTTTCTAAATACCTCGCTATGGGCCGAAAATCCAGTAAATCGGTCATAGCTCCGAAACGAAGGTCTATGGGGCTGTAATGGTGGGGGCCTATGGAGGATAGGGAGAGGGGGAGGGGAGCCGCAAAATCTCGATTTAAAACTTCCACTCACTATTTTCTTCGAAAATACATGTGAGTTCCACAAAAAACAGTAGTGTTATAATTTGTATAAACTTTATTTCAAGTAATTAATTAGTACTATCAAACAATAAAAATAACAATTAACGATGCTATTGAAGTTTTATTTATAGATGTATTGAAAATAATCTGAATTTTTCGTGGTCACTATACGAAAAAAGTATTAGTGAGAAGGTTTCATTAGTTTTTTTTGGTCGAGAGAACTCTTTAAATTCAAGATTTAGAATTATACATATGTCTGTTATTCACTGTTAAAATGGGTTGTGTTGACATATCATTTTCCCATACGATGATAATTATTTCAGATAATATTAAATGTTTAATAAATATTTAAAGTATTGTGATGATAAATTTTGTTGAAAATTTTCAAAATCGAAATAATAACTGATATTTTTTATATTATTATCAAAACAATTGTGATAAGAAAAAACAAAAAACACTAACTGTTAAAGATATATTTGCTAATAAAAGTTAAAATACTTCCAAAAGAAAACAATATTGAATATAATAAATAAATCTATATTAGATTACCATTTATAATTTCAGATATATTGGTAGGAAATTTTTATTGTGCACATTTGGTGATATAAAACATTCGTAATATTTCGTGATATTTTATTGAAAATTTCTAATAAGGTACGCTGTTTATTTTCATGGTAAAACAGTCATTTTTAAGATAACTTTAAAAATGAATTTTATTTTATTTTAAAAATAGCTCGTATTTATCTAGTCGAAAT